AAAACAGATAGAATTTTATCGTGTTGAAGACAATTCTGTATAACAAACATCTCTTTGTCTTACGTGGTCGCTCTGTTTTTTACGTGCTTTATTGCTTATCTAATAGTTTTATTATTTCTTTACTCTACCATTTAGACAGAACTAGAAATAACAAATTCGGACAATTATGTCAATTATATTTTTCACAAAATGTTTCCTACATTGTTTATGGAGTGTAATATGTATTTATTTCCGTCCTATTCGTTTAAAAACCAGGTGCTTATGCTCTCTCGTAAAGTTTTCTGTATTTCATTGTGCAATTCTTGTTTTATCTTAATGGTGCATTTATTACTAGAAGAGAAGTTTTTCTCTTAAAGCTTTACTGTTAAATAATTACGCACATGAGTTTAAATAATGTTATTATTATTTCTTAGTTTTGCCTTAATTCAGTTTACCTAGTGCCAAAGGTTTTAATAAATAGTTTTTTTGTTCAATTATTTTGTCAGTTCTCATTCTACTGTTTATTTAATGTGACTTAGAAATCCCAGAAGATGTTTCTGTAGGTATAAGAATGAATAAGAGCCTTTTGTGATTGGAGCGATAGAAAAACTATTATTGAGATGAAAAAGTGAACTTATTCCAACGATCTTGCAGTTTCGCTCAATAAATAAACTAAAAATGGTGCTCCTAGTTGGTTTTCTGTCAATTATTTTCAATAGATATCGAACACACTTGTAATATGTATGGAAAAGCTCTTAAATCTATTAATGTTTTTCATTTGCCACTGGCTTGTTTATTCAAGTCCACGTTGTGACAGTTTGATACTGTCTTTACATAACCAAAATCCAATCATTTTCAAACCAAAAGTGCTACATAATCCAAATAATTTGTTTTAATGCAGTTATTTCAGTTGTACTTTTTCCCCTTTCTGAATACATTTTGTTCCACCCATTGTCTATGTTAAAACGAATGTAAAAAATTTTTGTATTCAACTACTAAAATGTCAACTGTTTAAATTTAAAGATATTTCCAAGGATTGTTTAACTCTTGTGATATTTTCTGTTGTATGACCTGTTATGAATGTTAAAAGCAATGTGTAGATGTGTAATTTAGGTATTTGTTTTTCAAATGTGTGAGTACGTGGTTCTTTGAGTTACTCAAACAAGTCATTATATTTTCCACTTCACCTTCTTGGCTTTTAAACAACTTGTTATCGAGGTGATTCAAATTATCAGTACTCATTCATATTTTACCAAGGATGGTTAAACCATAAAAATATTTCTTTAAGCTGTGATCCTATTGGGTTTAGACTCTCTATACTTGATTTCTGCTGATATTATTGTATATTTCTGCTTTCTATGGTTTCCAACCCATCGCAAGAATATAATTTACTTATACTTTATACTTGTGTTTGTTACTATTATTTATGAGCCAAATTGTTTTATATGTATATATATTTAAATTATTAATATTATGAAATATTTTGTATGTTTTGTGTTTTATTTTTACTGTCCCGTTTGTACTTTTTTCTTTTTAGTTTGTGGTACATTTCAATAAAGATTTGTTTTGATTTAGTTTTACAAATTGTGATTGTACGAATTTTTGTTGAGCTATGTTATTTGTTGATGAGCTTTGAAATCTCTTCATACAATCATGTAGTGAACAATATTTCCACGGCTTTATAAGAAATCAATTTATTTAAACCCTTATTCAGGGTTTTTAACTTTATGAAAACATTTAACTTTTTTTTTGTTTCCAAGACATAAAAAAACTTTTAATATTTTAATCCTACTGGCAGTCATTGTAATTTTTGGGACTCTTTTTGATTAAGTGCCTTACGTACCGATTACTTAAGTTGATTTTCAGTAAACTGATATTTAATTAATCTAGATTCATTTCAAATATATGATAATTAAATTATTTACCTGATTCAGTAATGAACTTGATTAGTTTTTTTCTGTTTATTCCAACTCGTGATTGCCCATTATAAAATTTCACCAATCAATATTTAATTTAATTGTATAGTATTTTGTTCCAATTCCTTTTGTTCATAAAAGTATTGTACTTTGAATAGTAACTTAGTAAATAGCCAACTTTCTAAGACTAAATCAAATCAAATCAAATCAAATCAAAATATCTTTATTCGTCATCTGTACATGCTTGGTACATTGAATAGTGTCAATGAATAGCCTATATTACATTAAAATATTTGTAACATAGGCCCTAAAATTAAATATGTAATAAAATAAAATTAATAGTACAAATTCTTAAAATATAGAAAAGAACTTAAGTTACAGAATGGTTTTAAACATCAGCACTAAATGGACTAAATTAAATTAAACTAACTAACCAGCACCTCTATAAAAATTATCTAGTGAGTAAATAGCCCTTTCAGTCAAGAAACTTTTTAATGCACGTTTGAATGAATTTAAATTGTTGTTATTTTTAATATAACTTGGTATGTATTTCAAAACTATTTTGACTTGGTTCACTTTTTAAAGTTTATTTCAAATAACCTACCTTTGCTTAAACCTTTGTTCAGCTACAATATCCCTTCAATTTTTCCTAATTTTTTACATTTATGTTAGGTAATTTAAAATTGGAATATAAAACGGAAACATTGGGTACATGAGTCCTTAACTTACAATACCTTAACTTATAACTTTCCATGTCACTCGTACCGTTTTACTGAACTATTATGTAACAATTAATCACAAAAAACCTGTAATGCTACAATGAATTACAATAATAATTAACAATTAATTGCTTCGGGTAACAAGTAATATATTTTTTTATTGATTTTTCTTTATTATGATTTTTTTCTGCCACAGTAGCCTACAGGTGTTTGCAGCTCATATTAGCAATAAGCTAACAAATAATGAAACAGCTGTTAATCCTGGCAACAGCTGATTCTATTTCTTGACAGAAGAGTATTAAAAGTATTATACAAGATTTGCAAAATCCATTGAAAACAGCTGTTTTTCAACATTTTGTAAATAAGCTATTGGATACTGAAGTAGACTTCCCATCTATATGGACCAGCTGTCGCCAATTTTATATTAAAAAAGAATGTAGTTGTGTGAGTCAGTCACAGAATGCGCTAGTGTCTGAAATCCTATTTTATACCTTTTTTTGTTGCTGACAAGGTTGATGGGTCATAACAGTTGCTATAACTCATCATACGGCTTAAATTATTATTTCAAAACCAGTTCAAATGTGTTTTGTTTAAACCAGAGATACTTTTTGTAGAGATGATTTACATTATGTTGCCACTTGTATTTCATTTCAATAATTGTATAGCGACCAAAAATTTGGAAAAATGTGTCAGATTGTGTAACCTGTTCTTTTGTTCAGCTTTTCCTTCGTCCTCGTCTTTTTATTTTGTTTACGGTTTCATATTTGTAATTCTCAGAAACCACCACCAGGTGAGTGTATATTTACATTTTTTATTTGTAACAAAGATTATTTATTTCCAAAATCATGTATTTTAAAATTATAAGTGTATTTTTTTCAATGGTTTAGTGTATTTAAGTATTTTAAAAATCACCAGCCGAAATTAAAGCATTTACACACCCATGTTAGAAGGTTGTATTTGTAATATGTGATCATTAGCTTAACTTTGCACAGATTCAATCAATCTTTAATATTTTAAAACCCAAATAACGGATACATTGTCCTATAACTTGACGGTAATTAATTTTTGATATGGAAGAAAATCTTAAGATATTTTACATTTCTTTTAAACTTATATTTTTTCATGAAATGTGAGCTAAAATATTGGGATTTTCTAATTTATTCAGTAAGTATGTTAGTATTTGACTATTGAAATTGTTACTTGTCAACAAACAAATTAACTTCTTCATTTTTCAAGGCCCTTTGGTTCTTATAAATCTCAAAACTTATGAGAGTGGGAATTTTTTTTATTTCAGCCCAATTATTTTTCCACCCTCGTATTATGTGATTTGGTTATAATTAGTTATGTGTCACATTATTAAGTTTTTCTTTAGTTTTAGACTGCTAAGAAATCTTTCTAAAATTTTCCACTTATCTATTTTGAATTTAAATCCATAAAGAATTAATCAGATCTTTAGAAATTTTTGACTGATGTTATGTTTCATCAAGTGTAGAGCAGTTTTTTTTATTGAATATTGTGACTCATTAATAATTCATTCTTTAAAATTTAATTCAAAATGCAAAATTTATTTTGTATTCATCAATAAACATTAATTTTCTAATCAGTATTTTACACTTAATAAGTTAATGTCTGACAATTCAGGAAAATAAATCTTCCGTTTCTTTCCCTTGCCCAGATAATAAACAGCACACTCTGAAAATTCAATAAACATTAAACTACCTACACTACTATTTTTTGAAAGTATTAATCTTAAAAAGCACTTCTAGATAACCCAGACACTCAATAATATTTTATTTATTTGTCAGAGTGCATATATTCTGTTTTCTGTATTATCAGACATGAAATTTTGTATGTTATTTAGATACTTATTGGTTACCCAGAATTCCTATTTATAGAGCCACTGTAGTGGTTAATTTAGTTTTTCATCATAATGCAATTGTGTTCTTCCATAGTATTTTCTGGAGCACACTGACGGTCTTAACATTTAACTAAGATTTTCTTACTGCACAGAGAATCCATTCAACCAATTAATAGAGGACGAAGAAAGCAAAGTTAATGGAGCCGACTGTTGTGTGCGGGGGAAGAGTTGTACGAATACTCAACTCGAACCTTTTTAATTGACACGATCTATAAGCTTTTTGGTTACCAAACCTAGCCTAAATTTACAAATTTACATGTGATGGTTTGGCAGCCATATTCTATCTCTATCAAAATATATCATCCAGGCCAATTCGAGTTCTTCCAAAAATGTCCAGAAACACTTTTTAAGCCCAGTAAAAAATATTAAACTAGGTGTTCTATATAACCAACAAGTATATTATTTGAAATAATTGTTATAACGTTTGATGTTTATGTTTCTCACACTATTTTTGTCTGCCGTTTACAGAAGAAGATCATGATCATGATTTGCGTCACAATCCTGGTGGTGATAGTGGGAGGCTGGCTGGCGAGCTACGTTCCTGGACTCAGCTAAACGTAAGTCTACTGATCAAAATTATAAGTACATACCTTACGTCAACAGTTCAATAAGTGGTGAAACTCACTACATGTTTTGCCTATTCAGGCATCGTCAGGTGATCTTTACAAGAATGTTTCGTCCAAATTAGATTTGTCAAGTGAAATATACACACTACACACGCAACGAAAAAACATAAACATTTAGAGCAGGCGTACTGATCAAGTACAGTACCACAGAGAATTAAAGAGGAAACATTAATTGGTACGCTTAATTCGTGTATAGCACCAGTCGCTTGTGTCTAGTGCAAATTCTATTGGTCGTCCCCTTCCGCTCTCCTGTACCCCCTCGCCATCACATACTACAGCTTGTGCGCTCTTACTGCTTGTAAACAATAGCCGTTCAGCCTCTTCCTAGCTCGGTACTAGTATATTTCCGCCCCACCGTTCCAGAGCTAAAAGCGCACCATTGTTCCATAAGTATGTTTCTTCTGTATCTTACTTCGCTGTGACTACACTTAATAAAAAAGCTAAACTGAATAGTGAAAAATGGTTCAATTTTATATCGTTATCGAGTCTAAATGTTGTTGGTCCTGTGGATGGTTTCTATTGCAATCAATTTTCATTAAATGCAATTTTTATTCTATGAAACAAAGTGTACTATTTTATAAATTCTAGTAATGAGAAAAAACTAAACTTTTGAGGTGTTGCCTTCCAAATTACTTATTAATTATATTATACAAGAGGTTAACACTTGGTTGCCTGAGTAACCTTTGGTCGTCTGAAAGGCGACTGGTTTTTAATCTCTTAAAGTGTTATTGTGAAGCAATTAGATGGGAAGTTTTTTCTCCTAGGAGTTTGTCAAATGTCTTTTAAACATATAAACGGAAAACGACTGGGGAAAATACTTGAACAAAAACTACTCCATGGCCATACATCTAATTACTACGGAACAGCTGTGGGTCCAGGGTGTATGTCTAGACACGATGGTCTTAAACGGACATAGTTAGATCGATAATATCTTCAACGGTCACAGCATAATTCTGAACATCGACAGTGATTACGGAAAAATCGTAAACATCTAACGCAGTCGTGGTAAAATCGAAAACATCTTCTGCAGCTATGTGGTGAACTCATGAATATCTTTTGTAACAAAGAGATCGAAAATATATTCAGCGGTCACAGCGAAATAGCAAAAATTGCTGTAATCATGGCAAATCATAAACGTGTTCTACTATAACGGTAAATTTCAAGAACATCTTCCATCATGTCGACATCATTACCTCCCACAATTGCGACGAAACTGTAAATTTTCTATCTTTGCAAATACAGGGTGTTTTTAAAAGAATGCCGGGGTTTTAAATGGTAATTACTTGGATACTATTCAAGATAACTAAACGTTTTATACGTCAAATTGAAGCTAAAAAAACTAAGTTTTGTTTCCCGTGCAGCAAGGGAGGAAACTTTGACCTTGGTATGCGAACAGTTTCGGCGTGATAGGCCGCTATTGTGACTCATATGCCTGACGCGAGTCGAAAGTGCGACGTTTACCGCGCAACAGAAAGCACAGATTGTAATCTGTAGTTCGCAGAGGTTATATCTATTGCAAAATTAAACTAAATTTAAATCTACTTGATGATAAAAAGACTTGAAGCTCGTTTAATGAGTTTTGTGGCACCGAAGTTTTTTGAAAAGACATTTACCAGGCCGGCTAAAAACAAACGATGACATAGTCGAAGAAATCCGACATTTCTGCATCATAAGCCCAAAAAATCGATTGCCCGACAAAGTCTTCAGTTTAAAAGACCTAAATTGGTCAACTTTATGTTGTTATCTATAAAAGATAGAGTCTTTGTGCCGAAAAAGATTCAGTTAAGACATCAGATAAAGTTGCCGATCTCCCTAAGCGTACACACTTTGCCAGTTTTACGCTCATATAAGATTGATGAAAATCTGAATGTTATTAAATCATTCCGAATTGTATGAAAGAATGAGAAAAAAACTTTATTCTTTCCCCTTCAATTTGACGTTTAAATCGTTTAATTATCTTGAATAGTCCCTGAGCAACGACCGTTTGAAATCCCGGCATTCTTTTAAAAACACCCTGTACTTTCTGATATTGCAGAAATATGCGCTCAGTTTGATCCGAGCTTGGCCCCCATAATATTTTTCGGACCGTACCAATCCCTTGGGCTAAGGGTTGGTTCATCCCTATCTGAAAATATAAGAGACCCACTCACCCCTAGGAAAAGGTACATTTGGCGACCGGGAATCATGACTCGGAAAACCAGGAAATTCATGTTTTTTTTAATCCAGTTCTATGGCTTCTCTGAATAAATGTATGTGTTCAGCATTGACTTTTTTATTTAGCAACTATCTCTTTGACAATAGATTACTATTCATTAAATGCAACTAAATTTAAAATGCATGATTTGTTTCAGGTAAAAACCTTTCTAGGTTATCTCCATCATCTTTGTCTAGGGCTCTAATAAATGTGAGTACTTTGTTTTTCTCTTTATCTTACGACACCTAATTCAGTTTTATGCAAGGTTTATCAGAAAATTAAGGTCTCTATCTAGCTCCTGTTGCAGTTTGAATCTCATACCAATATTTTGTTTTTGCTCATCCTCCACTATTTAGGGGGACTCGCTACTGTGATGATTATTATTCTGTGATTTTTTATTTATTAGGTTTTCGTGGTCTCAGAACCGACCAGACCTCAATATTACTGTTGTAATTTTCTTTGACCATGACACTTTTAATTAAGGCTTAAATTTATTTTTATTTTTGTGTATACTTGATATTATTTGTCCTGAAGTAATGTGACTAACAATCCCACGTCTGTCCAACAGAGTAGAGGGGGTTTTTAGTGAGTCTGATATGTTCAGGTCTCACGCTACAAGCTGGCCGCCTGTGTGCGTAAAAGCATAATTTACCTCCTCTCTCTCTCTAAAAAAACACCTGGGACAGAATAGTTAAAAAAAATTAATTCATAACCTTTTATTTAATAAGCCTAGTGATAACCTGAGGTACCTGCTAGATTCTAAGGTTAGGTCACACTAATTTCAATATAACTTACGTGGTAATACCAGCGGTAAAGTGTACTAAGAAGCGATGATGTTAATTTATAATTCACTATTCGCTTCGCTTCAATAATTGTTGTTATGAAAAAATTGATGTAATTTGAAAATCTTGTAACCCAGCCTGTGGTCGTTAATGGACTATGCAAAAATCTAACCTAAATAAATGGTATCAGCATTCTGACACATACTTTCTCCCATAAGTTTGTCAACAACCTTTATCATGTGTAAGCGGTGAGAGTAAATATACGGAAATGGGATTTGTAAGATTTTCTTCAGAATTTAAAGGACTATAACATACTAAATTTTTATCAAAATCGTTCGAGCCAATATTGGGAAAATATGATTTTCCGTTATTTTATGGGGTTTTTATGGGGAAATAACATAATTTACAATAACTTGTGAACCGTAATTTTTACAGAGATGGGATTTGTACCATTTTGTTCAGAATATAAAGGACTATAACATACTAAATTTTTATCAAAATCGTTCAGGCCATTTTTGGGAAAATCTTTTTTTCCCGTCATTTTATGGGGTTTTATGGGAAAATATCCATTAAAAATAAAAATTTCTAAGAAATGAGAAAAACTATCAAAATTGTAAGGATCATAACATACTATGTTAAATAAAAACGGATTTTTTTGTCTAAAATCCTATTTTTCGTTATTTTATGGGATTTTTAAGGGAAAATAACATAATTTACCATAACTTTTGAACCGTAATTTTTACAGAAATGGGATTTGTACCATTTTGTTCAGAATTTAAAGGGCTACAACATACTAAATTTTTATCAAAATCGTTCGGGCCATTTTTGAGAAAATCCGATTTTTCCAGTTTTTTATGGGTTTTTATGGGAAAATCCCCATTAAAAATCAAAATTTCAAAAAAATGAAAAAAACGCCTGGAGATACCATGGATTAGAACCTACATACCAAATTTCATCGAAATCGGACCACAGGTGTAGTCTCTAGCTCTGTACACATCCAGACACACAGACACACAGACACACACACACACACACAGACATCACTTCGAAAACCACTTTTTTGGGTCCAGGGGGACCCAAAACGAATATATCCACTCAAAACTCAAACTCGAAAATTTTGACGAAAACAATACTTTCTCCATATACTATGGTATAGGGGGAGAAAGTAAAAAAGGACCAAACGATCCCCAGTAAACTACAAAATTCCCTCGATAAGTACTGTGTGGGTAAAACTGATATAAACTGGCTGGGTAGCTGAGTGGCTATAGTGCTCACCTAGTAATCAAAAGGTCGCCGGTTCGATCCTGAGAATAGTCAGTAGCTTTTTGATGGTTCAAAACTGGACCCAGCTGTTCCTGATCATTGGGCTTTAAATAAATTATCCTGACTAATGAAACCGCTGATCTTAGTCAGTAACAAAGCTACACAGGTCATCACACACCATTCTACACTCATCCTTCACTCATATTTGGGTTAAAATACGCACCTAGGTGGCGTCCCCATCTCAATGATTGATTGATTGTGGTACTTCCAAATATTTGTTATACTCTGTATGATGTAACCTGTCTCCTGAGGATTGGCCAATGGTTGTTGCTTTAAAGTCTGGGCAGTCTCCAGGTAGAGACAGGTTACATCATACAGACTATAGTGCTCAGTGAGCAAGCCCCATTAAACTTCTTTTCCTCTTGTAGTTTTACGGAGTTGCAAGTGCTGATTTGCTCACATGTTATTTTGACGTGTTACAGACACTGATTACATATGTTTTGTTGCAGTGCGTTTATCGTAAGGACGCCAGCCCTGCCACATAGATTCTCTAGCGACCTTCCAACATAGCTTAGTTTTATACCTGGATTGGTCTCTGTTGATTGTTCATTTGGTCTGTATTTTTGCGGCGGAAAATACTGTGATATCCTCAATGTCTCGCTAGTTATAGTTTTTTAAGTATCAATCGGTCAAAAGAACGTTACGTCTAGTGTTAGTCTAGAGGTTTTAGTTTATTATGTTGCTGGTTTTGTCTTGTTATTGTGGCTTTTTGTAAAAAAAAATAAAAATATGACTGTTTGAAAATAAATTTTCTGTTACTATTTGCTGTACTTAATTTATAGTTTAAGCAGGTTGTGTGGTATACGTTTAAGGTTCCTATATTGCTACGCTCTGTGTGTACTTTCCAATGGTATTGATTTGACTCGGGGGGTTTATGTCTTGTGGTTAATGTTTGTGTGTTCAAGTTAAAGAACATTTTAATTTGCAATGTTCAAATTATTTTTACAATCATTTGCAACTTACACAACTATAAACAGAAAGTTTAAATAGAGTCAATTGCATTCCATTGTGTAACGTAATGTAAAATTGTCCCATGTTAAAAGCAGTTCAAACAACACTGGAATATGTCAAATTTGCTTTCTGAATTCCTTCTCATAGTTAAATCACATCACTATCACTATTTTTAAGATTACACTAATTTTAAGTAATAGTACAAATTTTGTTTATCACAATGTACACTTGCAAATTGTAGAACCGTGACACAAATATAGTACCAAATGAACAATCACTGCTAAACGACTACAACTTTACTTTGAAATCTGAACCCTAAGAGTAGTTTGGATGGGCTCTGGTACCAGTACCATTTTGTTATTTTGTTACCAAGTATCGTGATACATTTTTGGAATAAATACCATCATTTTTTAACCTACACGTTTTTTTGCTTTATTGGTGAACTCACCTCACATGGTATATGTGTTAGGTTATTGTGATCTTTTAGACTCCTTACCCCTGAATAATTATTGTGAACACATAAAACTTAAATTAACGAGAAAATTACAAATTTGTGTTCCTACACCACAAAACATCTTTCTGAGTTCATGGTACTGGTATCCAGTTTGCCCTTGTGGTTTGGTTTTACACATATCACAACAAAATTTTTGTCATTCCTCTTTATAAGTGTGAAAATTCCAAAAGGGTAAACCCGATACAGTAACTTTACCCGGACCTGTATTGACGAGTCAGCACCTGTGAGTTATCTTTCGGTTCTAAACGAGCTTTGTGTTGATCTTAGCGTAGCCAGCTGACGACGGTACAGGTCTACTTATATTTATACAGCTTTAACGATATTTGCATTTGGTGTGAATGACGGCAGCGAGAGGGAAGGTATTAACACTGGCAGAGCAATAATGTGTACAGTCGACAAGTGTGTGCGTGCGTGCGTGTGTGTGTGCATAAGAGTTACGATAAATCTACATGTCTATATTGTACTTATAGTGTTCACTACGTTGACTATTTTATAATATTGTAGTTAGTAATAAAAAAGTTGAGCTGTTTTTTCCTAAAGTTTATACCTTGTTTGACGTTATTGTTGAGAGATATAAGTCCGTAAGGGCTACTAAGTAGGTGCAAAATGCTTATTGCTTATTTTTCACAAACCCATAATCTCGCTTGGGCGGTGTTGTGTTAGTAATGTGTGATTTTCTCGTAAATTTTCTCAATTTCGCCCCCAGACACATCAATTACGACAATAATTACGGAGGAACGGACATTGGGAAAGGCAACCCTGAGAGTGTCTATATTTTGTAAATTATCGCTGTTTGTAATTTTTTACGCAATCAAATGTGTGAAGTTATGTTACACGTAAAGTTTTGCTAACGACTTAAAAGCAATTGATATTGTGTAAAAGAGGTATTGTAAGAGATATTCTTTTTACAGCAATAAACTAAGTGTCGTTAAACTTGCAGAAATAAGAGCTTTAAAACGATTCAGTACCGGATATTTTTTCCTGATTTTTTTCCTCCTTTGTTTCTTGCTTGGTTTCCTAAAACAGGATAAGAATGTGGTCATGATGCTTCTGATAAAATAATCATCCTCAAAACTCAGTCTATATATTTTTATGACATTTGATAAAATCGCAAATATAAAACCGTGTTATAGAGATGTGTTTCATCTATTTTATGATAAGGCAGTGTATAGTTGTGATGATAGTTTTGATTCTCTGTAGTTATAGATAACACTAAATAAATGGTAAATTTTTCTAATTAAAATACTACCATGTTAAATTAGGTCTTGATTTAGTGTGAAATTTAGTTTTCATTCTGTTAGAAAACTTGCAAAATCATAGATCAAAGTTCTAAGTATTTTCAAGCTAGTAATTTAAAGTTAAAGGTTGATTTTTGGAAAATACAGTAGAACGTCAATAATCCAAATTGATTGGGATTGGATTCCATCTGAATTATAAAGTTATCCGGATTATCGAAATTACCTATAAAAAGGGCCAGCATGAACTATTTGAGCAAAAAACTTTTTTTAATTGTATATTTTTTATCATATGTCTATTAACGGGTCCAAAGAGAGATGAGTTTAAAACATTTTTTTTATGTTCAAGCACTGTATCCTATTTAATTCATACGTACAGCCTACAGTAAAAACATCAGGCACTGCATATTTGAACTTTTGAAGATGTGTGATAGGCTATTGAACTGTGTTAGTGGTTTGTTTTTTTGTTGCCAAGTCCTTACGTTTTTAAAGAAGGTACAAAATTGTATTTCTTGCTAGAGACAAATCCAGATTATTGACGTCCAAATTAGCGACAATCTACTGTATTTGATTCTGTCAATCATTAGGGTTTAACCTCGTAAGTTTTCATTATTTATTTACTAATATTTATTCAAAACGTAAAACTGACCCAAAAACATGTATAAATGGACTTTCAGGTAGTCTAATTAGAAAAATCAATGAAACTAAAAAAAAAAATATCTGTGAAAACTAACAAGGTCCTCAATAGTCATAAAAACAATCCTTTCTAAATATTTAACAGTTGTAAACTGAATATATTAGTGTTGGAATAAGCTTAAATTTAAATATAGCACAAACTATTTGTATATCTTCTATTTGAAGTGTCACCTTGTAGATGAACGGAAAATCTGTCTGTTTTACCTAACGCCAACGCCCCATGCCAAATTGAAAAAGTAAGCAAAAAGTATTGTAGTTTTAAAATTAGTTTCAGGCCGCCATAGTCGTTTTAACACAAGACCTAGTCAATTAAATACTCACAACTATATCGGTAGAGATGACTAGGAGGTACGACTGTACGTACAGTATTAACAAACGCTAGTGACGCCTCTGAAAGCTTGTTCGCATTTGAGCTGGTCGCCTCTATAGTAGTTTATTATAATGTTGCCTTTGCTTAGGTTATTGTCTTGTCGATAAAACTGAGAGAGGTGAACTCCTCTATGTTCACCGATTACGACATTTACGAGTAGTTATTGGCTTAACAAATTAGTTTTCTGACTTTTTTTGCCTAATTTTTTGTAGTTTAAGACAGAATTTTGAAATAGGCTGTTTTAGTTTATCTTCTTTTTTGGTAGTTTGTACTATGCTATTTTTTATTTTTTGATCCTTGATGTTTGTGAGATTACTAGGGGTGTGAGAACTGTTACTATTCTATTTTAGGTGAAATATTTTCCTAATTCTACAGGTTTGAGCTTTTTTAAGCTGATAACTCTCAAATTTTGAGTCTAGAACACATTTAAGATTAGATTGTTATACTGGAGGTATTTTATGATTAAAACCTGGTTTAAAACAGTTTTGTTAATTCTATTGCTGGACTTGATTTAATCTAATTCATTACTATCAACTCGTCAGCACATTAATCCTTTATCCCGAATCTCAAACCAAGCCAAATATTGTGGAAAACTCTAAGTTTGAAGCTGTTCACACTCCTAGAAGTAACTAAAGGATCATTTTAAAACACTATGGATTCTTATTATCAATCCAATACTCTTGAGATTATTTAAAATTTAATACTAGATTACTTGCTCACTTAAAAACACATTTTCTCTTACCTATTCCTATTAGTTAATACTTACAATCGTTCAATTTAACTTTTAAAGACCTAAATTAATTGCTACATGTTGAAAATTGTAAAAGATAAATTAAATGCCTCATTGCGAAGAGCTAAATTGGTTGTAAAGTAGAACAAAACTGAGGAAATAGTTTATCCTTGCTAAGTATATAACGGTCTTATCGTTATACACCCATTGTTCATCCAGCACTAAGATAAATCAATAAATAGAAACTTCAAATTCAAAAATTTTAAAAAGGAATATTATTTTATTTTTGACAAACTTTTTTATTTTATAGCCAGTTAAATGGTGTAGAGGGCTTTCTATACTCCTGTTTCAAATCTATGCTTGATCCTACTTGTAGACCATCTTCAAATGAACATATTTTTTAACTATTATTCATTTTTCAATGAGTTGTAAAATGTGTATTTATTCAAACAAATCTCACTATATTCTAGCATAATTCAATTGGAACACTATTACGTTACGAAGTTGTTATGGTAAACCCAGCAATGATTGTTACAACCAACCCATGAAGTTTAAAATATTTAATTTTTTTTGTTTTAATGAATTGTGAGTTAAAATGTAGCCTATTGCCTATTTTTTGTCCTATATTTACCAGTAAAAGATTTCTTCCAAAGATTATGTAGTATTGTTAATATTTTACTCTAATATCTAAGTTTTAGATTATTGAGTTGTGTTTTTCATTTTTATATTAATAGTAGAACCTCAAAGTAACATCACTCAAGTCAGAGTTATTTCAACAACCTTGCAGATTAAAGTTATACTCTTTCCAAGAAGTAGGTATTCCATTGATGTAACAGCTTTGGAATACGTTTTTTTTTTTTTTTAGAAATTAAATAGTCACTTAAATTTCATTTTCTTTTATAACTCAGGTATAGATTTTACAATTACTTTTATTATTATCAGAGAACTTTCAGATTGCTATTTAAGTCTGATAAAAGCTGTAATAAATTTGAAGAATGAATACAAAATAATTTACATCACTTGAATCATTTAACACAAATAAATTGGTTACAAGCTTAACACGTTCGCTGCTGATCGCCACATATGTGCTACGCTAAAGTCATCGCCACGGTCCGAGGTATACGTTTTAATATTGCACATGGACCAGGTGTCACTTGGTTAACAGTACACTCAGACCACGAGTCAGTAAAAAATAAATATCAGTTTTGCCAACTATCTTTATGACGTCACTAATCATCATATCCACAGACCAAGTGACGCACACATGCAACACATCCCTTTAGACCACTGCAGAGAATTCAGGGCCTTCAAATAGACCGTTACGAAGATATAAGCTTTTTAATAACATTGGACACTGAAGAAAATATGCGACGTCAGTCTATTTTAATGTGACCAGCAGTCGCATATATGCGACGGCAGTCTATGGGTAGAAACCGGCCGTTGCATATGTGCGTGGCTGGTCCATATGAATGAAAAATTTAGTACTATTGCGGTAGCGAATGTGTTAAACTTATCAATAGTCATTTCAGTTATTTTGTTAATAATGAAGCTTCCTAATTTTGGCAGAGGGTTGATTGTGATATAGATTCTGTACTTGAGGTTCTACACATCCCAACATGTTATGTTTATTTGAAAACTTTATTTACAGAAAATCCTCATTAATCTTTCCCTTATTATACAAACCTTGCTTAATTCAGACAGCCATTTGACAGTAGTTTGTAAAAGTTTGGTGCAGTAAAGTTAAAGATGTGCCACTGTAATTTACAGTGTTGTCTCAAATATTTTACTGTTTTTTAATCTACATATTACTTTCTTTAAGTCTGTTTTCTGTAAAAGGTGTATTATTTTGTGCAAGGAATAGGACTTCCCAAACGGCCCCAGAATGCCTCTAACTTTCTTTATATTAAGATTTCATTCAATCAAAACTTTCATTAATCCATACGAATTGAGATCAATGAGGTTTTACTGGCTATTGTGTTTAAAATCAGTTGGTGTTTGGATAATATGATTTATAAACAACATTATGTATGATAGTCCTTAAAAATAATAAGCTAACTAAATTCTAAGTCTGTGAATTATTTATTTTACTATTAGTCAAGCAAGCTTGAACTTTACTACTTGAAATTTCAAACATTGCGAGTGTTCATTCCAATGTCTGTATAAATATTCCCCTTCAAGATCATGATATAACTGCCATTCCTACTGCTCGAGAGATGGTTTAAGCTACAAATAGTCTATTCACTCGCTAAGTAGCATGCGGCTTGTGGCACGTAGTCTAGCGACCCTGGCCGATGCAGACTGCTTAGCGTACATTCCGAGAGTTACTTCCAAGAAGTATTTCTATTTTAGTGTCGTATCGTTAGTTGAAATTCACTGTAAATTGTATATTTTGTACATTAAGTGAGTTATTTTTCTCTTTGTTTCTCTATATAACATAGCCTAGTCGAAATCAGTTCCGTTTATAGTTTAGAGATTTTTATAATTGTTGGAGAGAATGAGTGTTATCAGGCCTATAGTTTTATACTGTATGTAGCTAGGGCGTTTGTAAAATACCTTTCTGAAATTTAATGTATAAAACCGGTATTTTCGCCCCGTCTCGTGTTAGGTCTCATCGTCTAGTCAGAGGGTAGTTTAATATGAGTGTCGTGTATAGCATGTTATTTCAATTTATTCGGAATGTTACGAGCCTTACTATTTACTATTATTGAATGTAATCGGATTATAATTACGGAGAACTATCGATATTCTTGTAATATAAGGTATAAAACTCTTATTTGTTTGTTAGCGAGGGTTACTTACAATTGTGATCAAAATGTAAACAAAAGAATTGTCCTTTTATTGTTGTTGAGAATGAAAACCGCAGCACAAGTCAATTGTAAATTACTTTAACATAATAGATATGTCCCTGTAATATTGAATGGTTCGTTCTTTATACCTTTGTTTTCTCAGGGTCCAATAAGGTAAGTAAAATGTGTAACCAAAGATTTCATATTATTTTTATTGAAGAGCGTAGAATCACAGGGATTGATTAGAAAGAAAAGGTTGCTCTAATTTATGCAGAATGATTCGAGTATTCACTAAAAGAGTCATTATGCAACCATCTTTACTAACCAAACATAACATAGAAACATTCAGAACATCTGAAGTCGCAGGAACAACGCCTTTAGAAGTCTCGCCTCGTAAGTCACAGTATCTTTTCCATGTTGAATGGTCGGCTCTTCTAGAGGATTTTCAGCTACTGTCTTAACATCTTTCCCATGAGCTGCAAATACAAAATTATGGAAACAATAATGATCAGTGAAATATGCATATTTTAGCGCCAATCTCCAAAAAAGAAGCTATCAACTATTTAACAACCATGCGAGGGAGAAACTTAGTAAAAACTGATCATACCTGTTGCTTTATACCTTTTCTACCTTTTAATACCTTATCTCCAATGGCTGAAATAATAAGTACAGTAAAGGGTCTATAGTCTGGCACTCCAGTAATCCGGCGGCTTTTGATGGGTGCAATCTTCTGCGATCGCGGCAAAATTCTGATTATCTCCCACGGTCGTGTAGACATCATCATCTTCTCCTGCGGTCACGGAAACGTCATCGTTGTCTTCTACAATCGCGGCAAAATTCTACTCATCCCCCACAGCCATGTAGACATCTTCATTGATTACCGAAGTCACAGAAACGTCATGCGCGAATGCAGCAATAGCGGTTTCCGATCGTGTGATCTTTGCAGATGTGTTTTGTGCATTTTAAGTGTTTTTATTGATGACATTCCAGTAATCTAGCATTTTCAATCATCCGGCAGGATCACGGTCCTATATCTGCCAGATTACCGAGGTCCTATATCTGCCGGATTACTGAGGTCCTATATCTGCCAGATTACCAAGGTCCTATATCTACTGAAAGTCTACTGAACAAGTTTTTCAACAAAAATGGCTGACAACTCCCCGTATGTGCCACGACCTGGGATTCAACTTTAGAACATCCACACTATTGAGCTTTTAGTTGACCAGTACAGTAGACATCAGTTAGGTTGTCTCAAAGGCCAAGCTGGCTAAGGTATTGTTTCCACAGCCAAGAAACATTGACAAGATTGATTAATGATTAGTAAAGTCTAATGTACATCTTTGGCAGAACTTGGTGGCAGAGACTCATTTAAAATAGACAGTCGGGTGAAATATGATGAAAACTGTAATTAAATCCCTTAATTAACAAAAGAAATGTTAAGGGTTAATCATATCAGATGAGAACAGTGTTGAGAAATGAAAAGTATTTGAAACAAAAATACAACTTACCTTCACACTGTTCTAAGAAAGAAACGCACTCTTGAAAGAACGTATCTCTCGCAGTGATTGTATGTTTGGCCAGATTCTCCATTAGTGACAGCATACAGCGTTTGGCATAAAACCTACAATTCAAACAACACTTATTATGAAAAATAACTAAAAAGTTTGTTTGGTTCATCTACCACAAATTTATTTGTTCAATCTATTGATTTTGCTGTACATTGAATACTCAAGTTATTGATATCTTCAGGTTATTTACTGGTTCTACAAATTCTAACCCTGAATTACATGAGGTTTTTGTTAGTGTATTTAAAACTTAAATCTGTGATAAATATGTTGGCCATCCATATGATTTGTTTGTATTTTGTCCTCAGTAAAAAAGTTCACAATAACAACAGAAAACAAACTAACTTAACATTAATCTTTAAATTTTGTGCACAAAATTAACAACAAAGTTGTTCCCAAAAATGTTATAATTCGGTCATGGTTATTGGTCTGAAACTAATTAACTGTACCCGAATCATTGGTCCCTTTAAATATTTTTACAGACGTCTTCAAAATTTATTCTTTTTCAAATGAAGTAAAAATGAACTTTCATACATCCTTTACAATCATTGTTCTCAGTTAGTAAATTAAAAACACTTACCAAGTGTCGATTCCAAGTTTCTTATTGTAGGGCTCAAGGCTCTTGATGAGCCGAGAAATTCCAAACTCGTAATTCCCTTTCGCACAGTAGAGTGTTCTAAAACAAGATTTGAGAGTTAGTCATCTCGTTGAATAGGTATTGTTTTTTAGACAACAGTGTCACTGAATTGGCAAAGATATTGGCCTAGGGGAAATTGTGTTTGGCCTTAAGATGTATTGCTGCTAGAGATGGGAAATATCGTTACTTTTCAATAATATTAAAAAAGTCAACTAAGGGATAGTTCCTTAGTTTTGACAGTTTTTTCATTCACATCATTAACTGTCAAATAAAATGTGACTCCAACATTTTTCCTGTGATTGTATTTTTTCTGCATACTGCGCAATAAAATTTAATCACAACACACCCGAGCAATTTTGTATCTGCAGGTCTATTATTGGATTGCAACTAAATGAGAATTAGTTAAATTGTTCTCTGATGTGTACTTAAATTTACTCTAACTATAAAGAACTAGTTAAGTAATGCTAACAAATTGATCAAGACTAACCCTATGACCAGATTCACAATGCAAAGGTGAAAAACTTTCTTATCCGGGTCAGCGTATGCAAGCCTTTCTTCTTCTTTTTCAATCTTTCGCATCAAATCCTCGGCTTCATCGTTCTGCGCCGTCATGATGTACGACACACACAGGTTGGCCAAGACTATCGCACTTGCTCCGAGTATCTAAAAATTGAAACTCTGAGACTAAACTCATAAAATACAATCGGTATCAAAAGCTCATCATCTTTTGCTGCATGTTCCTGAAGAGAGCCAAGTCAAATACAGGGCTACCGGTACTTAATTTCTTGTTTGAATTAGTTAAATTTTATATAATAGTTTATGTTAAATTATTGCCAGTTGTACCTGATTTAGCTCTAAATCGCTGTCCTTTTTATAAACTAAGATCTGAGACCTTTTGGTAGAATTAGAGGCTTTTTAGGACCTTTTAATTAGATCAACATGGTAAAATCAGCGACTTCTCCTAGATCATGAAGGCAAAAATCAGTAATTTTTCCCAGACCTTTGGTAAAATCTGTGGCTTTTCAGTGACTCCTTGTCTAGCTTAGTTTAAGGCCATTTTCCTTGCACCTCGAAAAGTAACCAAGGGCAAAACCTTTTGTATAAAAGGCGATAAAGTGAACAAACTTATCACACAAGACTCACGTTATTGTAGTGTTTCTTGACGATCGGCTCGTAAAAGCCGGCCGCCTCCTTGAACTTGTTGTCCTGCATGAAGAGAACATGGGCGACGTGCAAACGCCAAGTCTCGTTCTCGTTGCAGAACTCCACTGACTTGTGGAATATATTCTCCACCTTTAAATATAACACGATATAATATTTGACTACATAAAAGGTGTGTGGGAGGGATATGAAAGAAAGGCTATCCACATCACTGAGAGTCACAGTAGTAATAAATAATCCATAGGTAATTAATTGTTGACCTATCCAGATAGCTTCTTTACATCTAGGATCAGTTATAATACTTTTAAATGCTAGAAGAGGAAATAGAACTTCAATTTAACACCCTCAAAGAGAGATTCATTCAACTCTCACAGAGAAAGTAAGGTACGGAAGACACATTCAACGGTACACTTAAGTGGTGTCTAGTACTAGTTGTTGGTGTCTAGCACAATGTCCAACACCATCCCGCTCGCCCTCATGCACTACAAAGCTCACGGAAAGGAAGACCCTGTGTCCTGTACGATAGAAACTTTCGCACAGTGCTTGCCGCTCAGGCTCTTCCTTGCTCGTCACAAGTATATTTCCCCTAGAGTGTATGTACATGAACAATATACTAGAGCTGAAAACGCATGGTTGGGATCATAAACAAGTTTCATCTGTACTTTACTTCTATGTGCAACTAAGTTTCAAGTAAATAATTGGCAATAGGTGATACATTTAATTTGGGATGTCTACTTCAATATCCAATAATTCACTATCAGTAATTAGATGTGATACCAAACAAGGTAGCGTCTTGGGCAAGATAAGCCAGATTGCTGATTTTATCATTGTTATCAAAATACAAGGTACTTCACTGTCTTAACCCTTCCCGGACGGGTGACGGATATATCCGCCTAAGTCTTTGGCGATAAAGGACGGGGGACGGATATATCCGCCTAAGTCTTTGGCGATAAAGGACGGGGGACGGATATATCCGCTTATGGTTATTGATGTTCCGGACGGGAAGCGGATGTATCCGCTTTCTCTTCAGACGGACTGGCAGGTGCTTGAGCAGTAACCAGATGTTTCGCGTTACCAAGGCACCACTTTCCTGCTCTCTCCATGGCTGCGCTCACTCCCGCACTCCCTCTCCCTCTCTCCTGTGCATACCCCTATCCCGCGCACCCCTAACCACTCCTATGCTCCCCCCTCGACGTTTCGCGCTCAACACTACGTTGTCTTTATTTATTGTTTACGTATTGTTCTTTATTTATTACCTAACGTTGTCATGGTCATATCTTTAAAGACGGGTGACGGATATATCCGCTGCTTTTCTACTCATACGCGGACGGGCAGCGGATATAACCGCATAGTTAAAAACGAGTAAAAAATTATTTTGACAGTATGAAGTGTTCCATTGTGTTTATTTTATGTATACCTGTATAACAAAACACAAATAAAGATAATTAATTTTTATTTATTCCTATAATTTTTCCCGTTCTATGTCGCGATTTCGGGTCTGGGAAGGGTTAAGATCACTGCGACCAACATTACCAATGGTGATGGCAGTGTTGAGGTTCCTTTTTCAAAAAGAAGAAGAAAAACAATAAGAACTGGTTACCTGGGAATATTGTTCCATGTCCCAATATATCTTGGCTTGTGACATCAAAACTGGTAGGTACCTAAAACAGTGGAGATATTTTGCTATAGTTTATTCAAAGGTCGGATGTGGAGACTTGACTAGCTGAGTAGCCAAATTAAGTGCTCACATTGTAATCAGGATGA